AGGCCACAACCTTTTGGCCGCTTTGATTGGTCTGCAGAACCAGGTGAGTGGGAAGTCTTCGCCCGATCGAGCCGGTTCCGGTGATCTATTTTGTTCAGGAAAGTATATCCGCGCTGCGATACGGTACTTTCGGCAAATGGCTTTACTCATCGCCGGTCATCCAGGTTTAGTTTTTTTTTAATGCTGTATATGTGTAGTGATTAATGCAGTAATAGTGGTAATTTCGATGCCTGCCGTTTCTTTCCTTCTTGACCAAGTATGTAAAATGCTCACGCAAGGTGGTACTAGTCTCACGACCCAGGCGCTGCATTTAAACAGCAACAGTTCTAGTATTTTAGTGATGTTAAGCCACTTCCAGCATCCAAGAAGGAAAGCTCTGCCACTCGGCTCTGGTAAGCTGCATTTCCGTCGCGGGAGATCATGTTGTTGCAGCAGCCTTGCGTGCCGTAAAGCGGGGTGTAGCATGCCGAGGGTCTCTTGCTTTGAGAACGAACACCCTTGCTCGAATAGTTCTTCCCATGAGTCCAAGTTGGCGGCCGTCGTGTAAAGGAGATGACAGTAGGAATTAAGATAATTTGTCGGACAGTCAGGGCAAGGAAGTCTGCTGGACTAAAGGAGTCGGTGATTAGCGAGACCAGTCGAGTCGTATCACGGGAAGCTGGGAATTCGAAAATCTTTTCCGATGAGAAAGGCTGACAACCCGCAAGAATAATTGACAATGCAAGTTTTACTTGAAGATGGCAGTCGTCTAGAACGCCTGTAGCGGCTAGGATACTGGCTGTTTCTTTACCAACACGATACTTAGAGCTCACTCGCACTTTTGCGAATAGGAAAGACACCAGTAGTAGGTATTTTATTTTGTGCAGCAGCTTTCTGATTGCCGGAACCTTCGATGTGCAACTGACTCCGGACATGCGCGCGCGTCTCTGCAAGGCTGCATTGTGCGTGGAACTTATGCTCTTCCGAACTCAGCTGCGCTTTTGCGAAAGCCTAGTATTTATGGGATTTTGGCAGATTTGCATAACTCCCGCCGACGCCACGAGTTTTTTCACAATTGGGTAAACTAAAAAACCCTTGTATGTTGTGAGAGATGGGTGGTTTGTGGCACATGTAGACGGGCTGCAGTAGCTCCATTTCAGTACGCTTAACCCCAGGGTCAGATAAATGACCGGCTCGGAAGGTTTACTGAGGCATGGGAGAGTGCAGTAGAGTGGAAACTTCAGTCCCACGGCATTGCAATGCATTCCTCGGCATAATAATCTGTCCCGCTTGGGAATTAGCCCGATGCGTTAAAACATGTGACTCGGAGGGCTGGCAGCTGCCTGGATAACACGGGCCCTGTGGTCAATACTGTGTCTGTGCGGCGACGGGCCCAAGGACATAGAGTCAGAATTAATGGGTCCTGAATGTAGACTACGTAGCACTCCCATGCTCCCTGCAAAAACCTGATCATTTGTGGGCTGGCCAGGTCGTGTGTGGCACACGTAGGCGGGCTTTTTAGTTGATACAGTCAGCCCACCAGGTCATCTTTCGCCGTGCTTTTGGCTGTCTTCCCAGTGGACGCAGGTGAGTGAGACAGGATAGGGTGCGGCAGATCCTATCACTTTAATTCATGAGAAGGCGACAAATACCTTTTGTATTCTGAGTTACCTCAGCAACCACCCCGTCTCGCACAAACGCAGCCGCGTGCGAACACTATATCGCCACGTAGAAACCCACTACAGCCGACAAGGAGGCCGAGGTCCAGCATTTGGGTATCCTGGCGCATTCGTATAAAATGCAGACGAGGAACCAAACGAATAAAACCAACGGGACAGCTAGGACCGACACGCTGGTGGGCAATACCTTATATTGCTGGTATAACCGAAAAATTCGCTCGACTTGTCAGCGAATTTGGGATTGGCATCGCTCACAGACCGGAAGCGACAATCCGCAGGCAACTTACGTAACCCAAAGCTCCAATACCCATTAACCAAAAATCCGTTGTTATTTACCGCATTGACTGTCATTGTGATCAAGCCAACTATGTTGGTGAAACCGGTAAACGGATTCTCATGAGAATGAACTAGCAAGAACTCGCCGTGCGACGCACTGACAAGCTTTCCTCGGTAGCCGCTCACGCATCCACGCCATGGCAAGGCTTCGACTCCGAATGGGTGAGAATACTAGGTCAATCGGACGACCGAAGCTCACGCCTGCTGCAGGAGGCATGGCACGCGCACGCGGATCCTATTAATAGGCATATCGATCTTCCTGAGACCTATCTCGTGTTGTGCGAACAGATCGAGGGCTGAGGTCAAGGTCACTCCCAGCGTGG